AGTTCAAGTGGATCGCTGGTTTCCTCGCAACCTCCTCAGGCCAATGGGGGTTATTTTTCTAGTTATCATGTCAGTGTCAAGGCACTTGTGGCAGGATGTACTTTTCAAAGAATGATGCACTAATACATATCCATTCCCACATGTTCTTCCTTCAATGTGATGCTGACACTCCTCCTTCACAAGGTCAATCAATAAAATGTAGAAGTGACAATGTGTTATTTCCAAGTCTAGATCATAAAAGGTGTCACTGAACTTTGAAACCCAGCTCCCTTCTGTGAGGAAGCCAGGTGACAGGAAGAGTCCATAGCTGGCATCAACCACCAGACATGGGAGCAAATAAGCCTGTAGGTGATTGCAACCCTAAGCCTTCCAATCATCCACCTGAGGTCCCAAACATCACAAAACAGGGCCAAGCTGTCCCTGCTATGCACTGTCTGAATTCCTGACCCACGGAATTCATGAGCACAATAAATGCTGTTTTCCACAACTAAGTTTTGGAGAAATTTGCAATGCAGTCATAGGAACTGGAACAGTACTCCTTTGTGACTTCCAGCTTTCGGCAGACATTCAACAGTGGCTTCCTATGTGAACATTTCTTCATTTCTGGCACCTGGGGACTTCTTGGTTCCTAGCTCAGTTACACATCCATAATTATTAGACTATATTTTACCCAGCATTTGAAATATACTGAAGCAGAATGGAGTCCCTTCCATGTCAACTCACTCTGCCACACTGCCCAGAAGTTCCCAGAGTAACTTTTCAAATGATGACATTAAAAATGTGAAGAATTTAATTTCTTTTATATGTAAAGATGCTTAAAAATCAAAAAGAAAATTAACCATACAGAGTATATTAAAAAAGATAATTCATTACAGAAAAAGTACAAATAAAAGTTCATTCTCACAAGTACTCAAATAAAAGCAAAATAATATAATGAGCTATGACTTTACCAGTTAAAATGGCAAGGATTTTTTTTTTAATACTAGGAAGTGTAAGATGGGATTCAAGAAATGGCACTCATAAGGTTTCAGTATACGTATCATTCTATTTCCAGACAGCACTCGTGCATAAATATGTCCTCATAATTTTATATACTTTTGACCCAGCAATTCCACTACCAGGAAATTATCCTAAAGTAATAACCATTGATAAATACAAATATTTATCTTCAAGATGTCAAATCCTAGTATGTTTATGATACGATAGAAAAGACAAAACATCAAACACCAGATGGTAAGATTTTCTTTATTTTTAGCTTTGTTTAAACCAAAATAATTATCATGTGAACATATAGACAACTTGTAGACTCATTGAGAAAGCTAATTATTTATCCACAATGCCAATCATTATGTTAGGAGCTGAAATGCAAAAATGCTTAAGCTGTAAAAGCATACAGTCTATTGGAGGGAATGGAGTAAACAAATAACTACAATTCATTATGGTAAATATTAATTATAAAGCTGTGTTTAAATTCTGCAGTAAAACAGAGCCTTTGCTAATGTAACCAGATTGGGGAAGTAATAGCATTTTGCTTTTGATTTTGAGAAAAGGATGCTCAAACTGAGTCCCACAAGCTTTGGTTAAGTAGAAATTACACATGCCAGAGAGAGCTGCATGTCTACTAAAATTCTTGCTCCTTCAAAAAATAGGTTTGTTCCTAGGAAATGGGTACCTCCCTATGTTTGAAATATGAGTGAATGCAATGTGTAATACTTTCTACAGAAGGTTTTAAGAAGCAAGTCTGCTTTCTCCACACTTTCTCCTTCCCCTTGTGCTTGCTGTAGTTAGATCACTAAAGTGCTAATGGATGGCAGGGCCTGGTCCTACAACCAAATGGAAGAAAGCTGCCTGATAACCAGAACACCTGCTCTGGAATTGCTAGTGAGCAAGAAATAGAACTCCTATATGTTGAGTCATTAAAATGTTGAGGTCTGTTTGTCATTATAGATAGCAATAGACTATTACATGTAATTTTTTATTCTCAAGTATGTATATATTAGCTCACTTACTCAAATATACTGAGTATGTACTATGTGCAAGTCAATGTGCCATGTGCATGACAGACAGAAAGATGAATTAAGTAGAGATTCTGCCTTCTCAGAATTTCTGGTCCAAAAGAAAAACAGTACTACTCATACAACTATAAGAAAAAGAGTGACATTAAAGTCTTAGAAGAGATATATATTAGAGGAGTTAAAAGGAGAGAGAGCTATTACTTTCACATGG